GAGGTGAGGAGATGAGCCGCGGAAGTGGTCCAGACAGAAAACCTGTGACCAGAACAAGATCCTCCTGACCCAGGTTCCCGGACGGCGTGCCTCCGTGGCCGGGATGGACCCGGCCCTCTTTTACTTCACCTCACCTTAACCAGGAACCTGGACCCACACACGCCCAGCGAACTGGCGCCATGTGGCTGATTGGGACATTTCAGCTCTCCTGAAAATTGGTGTTGATCGCTTCAGAAGACACCCGCAGGCAACGATTCGTCGTGACAAATAAGATGGTCAGAATGATTGGGCTCCCCAGCACACAGATGCATTCCACACCGTGCCTGAGCTGGCTCTTGGATTCAAAGGTCAAATTAAAACTGGTCATCTGGGAGTGTGGCTTACGTGCCCATGTTTACAACCTCAACTCTTGTCATGTGTCTGCAGAGTCCCCAACAACAAATCAATATCCTGTAGTCTGGGGGAAAGCAGGAACAAACGATGCTTCAAGAACTGGGGCTAAGTGGCGAATGCCCAGAACACAGTTCGTATACCCAAAACGCGTTACGGCCACAAACTGCTGGGGCACAAATTTGGACTATTTTAAGTTTCTTAAAGTCTCGTTTGCAAGTAGCAAAAGATCCTTATTGTGAAAGATAACTTGGTTCTCTTGTTTATATTCAAGAGCCAGTGCAGATTAAAGTGATCTTTTAAAAGGGCTTGAATAGGAGAATAAATCAGTATTGGTGTCCCGTTTGTCTTATTTCAATAATAGTCACTATGGAAACGAATCACTGGCCTATTTCTTTTCATACCTCCAAGTAAACAATAAGGTTTCCTTCCACTTTTCCGTGTATCCTGTTTCCTTTGGAAGAGGGATCTCTGGTATAGAGTGTCTCCAAAGCACTTCTTATTGAAATCTATGGTTTTTCCCTGCATGATTATTTCATTTGTTTTAAACACTCTCAGCCTCGCTGTGGAATTCTGTGAAGGCCACAGGTGGTGACGCAAAGCGCCCAGTGCCATCCTTCCGAAGACCGGGCTCACGCGCCTTTGCCCAGAGCTGGAGAACCCAGTTGCTGCCGGATGCAGCCGAGGGCCAGAGGACGCTCAGACACGTGACAAAGTGCCCAGCGCAAACAGCCAATGGACTTTCCCTTTCATTTCCCCTTGTTCCACACCAGTTCACGATTACAGACCAATGGGAATGTCTCCCAGGAGTACTTGCCATGCTAGGCTGCTGATTCGAGAAAGAACAAGCGAAATACTAGCGTGTGTTTCCTCCCTTCCTGTCCTCAACCCACATCCGAAATCCATTTTATATCTGGCTGAAGCCAGAGGTTCTAAATATAGAGGGTGTGCCCTCCCCGGCACTCCCCGGTCTCTCTGCGGGGCTGTCTGTGAATCCACAGCCCATGTTCGCAGGGGCCCCATTAACCCAGCAAGTGTGGCCCCTTGGCCTTGGTCCACAACCCCCCATCTCCAAGGACACACTCCTGCTAGCATATCAAAAGGAAGCACACTGTGTGTAACTCTATTTATTGCTTGCTATTTTTATGACCTGTGAAGGCCTTCTCTTCATTTGTTTACTGCGTGACATGGAAAATTACAGATATATGTAGATATATATTTTTAAAGGCATACACACAAAAAAAGACATAAAAGACAAAAGCCCCATACAGCGGCAGTGCCCTCCAGCAGAGGAAGAGAAGATACTTTAGCGGTGTTCTGTATTAACAAACATATTACAGAAACAGAGTAAAACGGCCATAGTGCTTAATTGTTTTGTCTGACAAATCTATTTTTAAAAACGGAAAGAGGTCAGACCTAGGATGTCAGTGCCTGAAATGTGCCACAGGCATCTTGGGAGAACTCTCTGAGATTTCACTACAAATGTTACTACCTTTATGCCCTTAAAGAGCTGTGATTTTCCAAATGGCCGTGTCAAGATGATAACAAAGTAATTGCTTGGAGGGGGGGGGGGGGACTTAATCAGCCTGAGAACCTGGCAGATTGTTGCAAGTGTGGCTCCTACTGTCTACATGTTCCTTTGCGCAGGCCCTTTGCGGTGTGGCCTGGCAGCTCTTCCCACTGAGAGGCAGAGTCGGTTTCATCACCCTTCAAATCTGGGCTGGCCCCGTGACTCTCTCCAACCGTCGAATGTGGCAAAGTGAGAATGTGCTTTTTTTGGCCACCGTCACAAGAACAAGCCTGGGAAGTGTCCTGCAGGACGAGGGAGCACAGAAGAACCGAGGCATCCCAGCTGACTCACAGCTGACTGCGTAGATGTGAGGGCACCAGCCCAGCCCAAACTGCTGACTCATAAAATCATAACTAAATAGGTGGCTCCTATTTTAAACTACTAAGTTTTGGAGGAGTTTGTTACACAGCAATAGCTTAGCTGATATACCTTTTCTTTCTCCTCTTTACCAACACCCCCGTCCCCCCCAGAAAGGCTTATCGCTATGCAAAAAGCCCTTGTCAGAGAATCGGAAGATGTAGGTGCTACTCCTGGCTCAGAATAATTTAGCTGTATGACTCTGAACTTGCCCTGTACCTTTCTGAGCATCAGTTTCCTTGTCTGGATGTTTACATCCAAGATGTTTCTGGCTGGAGCATCCGTACAAAGGAAACTGCCAGGCAGCTTGGACTTTTCCACACGCTGGTGTGAATGTCTTTAAGAGGTGTGCATAACAAATCTCATTACAAATGTGTCTTTTGATCAGTGGTCCCACTTCTTTGCCATTCTGCCATGGAAGTAAACACCGAATACACTGGCAGTTATGCTCAAGGATGTCTAGTGCAGGATTATTTGTATGGCAGACGTCAAGAAATAGCCTGAATGGCTATCAAGGAAAATGAACAAATAGTGCTATATTCATACCGTAAAATATCATGCAGCTATTTAAAGAATTCTCCAGAAGAACTTTCATGATAATTTTTTTTTAAGTGAAAGAAGTGAGGTTCGGGGTACAGTACCATTTTTGTAAACAAAACAAAACACTCATATGAGTGTGCAGTTTCATATGCTTATTTGGCCACTAAGAAAGTTCGGAAGGACACAGAACATGCTGATTTCCTGGGCTGGAGACCGATTTCTAACAGCAAAAAAATGTGCCAACAGCCTCTGTGTTTTTAGGTGGAGGGGTTGGATTAATTTAATGATGGCACTTCCATATGGTGAAATAATACTCAGCTGTTAAAAGTGATGATACGTATTACATGGAAACAATTACATACATCTAAAATAATGGTATTAGTGAATATGAAACAACATTAAAGGAAATAAAAATGCATGATCCCATGTATTTAGAAAATCTTCGGGATAAAGACACACCAAATATCCATGGTAATTTTTAATGATCATGAGCTTATAAGTGGCTTACCCTTATTTTCATGGATCTGTGTTTTCTAATTTTGCTAAAATAACATGTATAAAAGGGGAAGGAATGGGGCACAGGCAGAAACATTTAGCGATTCAAAGGTGTTGAGTAAAAGCAGCAGAACCAAAGGGGACTGGATCCTTCATAAACGCAACCACATCCCTAAACAACAAGGAGGTGAGCATACTTTGAGTTGGAAATCACAGTCTGTGAAAGACAGCTTGAGATATTTAGCCCAGTGGGCTGAGCAACCGGCCGTCTAGAATGTTTTTGGCTCACACAATATGATTAGAGTGGATGAGATAATTAATATTTATAAAGCACTTTCATATCCTGCAGAAGAAGCTGTTGTGTAAGATAATCCTGTCTTCCTGAACTCAGTCCTTGTGTCTTTCTTCAAATGGGCCCAGGGCCACCTCTTCTGACTCCCCCTTGAAAGATCACCAGCTTATCTCCTAGTCAGCATGCTTTTTGGTTTCCTTAGACAAGAAAACCTGATTGGAGAAAGAGGTTACATTCCTCTTCACCGTAAATTATATACATCCAAACCAGAAACTCTTTTGCCTCTGGAGACTATGTTTGTACTTGGGCAGATGCTGTTCATCAAGGTATTAGCCTTGAACAAACTCCTTCTCTGCCAAGTTTAAAAGACCCCGGACACGACAGGAACTTCTAATGAAGACAGATGATTCCTCATAGATTTAGACTGAAGGCAGCTTGGATTAGGTGTGCGCCACGCAGACTGGAAGGGGATGGGTTGTTTCTGGGGTGCGGCTTCTCCCCCACGGCTACCACCAGCCACCAAGCCACTCTCACCCCAAGTCTGGAATTCACACAAACAACTAGTCTCTGGATGGGAAACTCACTGACATTCCGCCTAAGTCCATCGCCAGGCAACTTATGAGGAAACGGAGCATTCTGAGAGTGCCTGGCCCCTGGTGAACTTGCCCTTCCCTGCGGACAGCCGTCTTGCCCCTTCCTTCGCCTTTGGCAGGTTCTGTAAGGGCTTGTGAGTGATACGGGTCCCTCCGTCCCACTCAGGGCGTTATCATCACTTTGGCTTTTGCTCTGGGAGAAGCAGCCGCCATTACTTCTTCCACCCAGTCCCGTCGCAGTCGTAGCACACTGACCAAAAGCATTCCGACCACAGAATGTCACTTCAGGACAGAAAGCCGCTGGATGCAAAGTTTGGCAACTTGTTTCCATCCTTGCTATGCTGGGTGACTGAATAGTAAGTAACAGGCTGTGCAGGTTTCTCCACAGGCCCCTGAGTCCCACACATTCCTTTCTTGGGAGTCACTGTGTGATTCCTTGGAAGAAAAAGTGGACATTTGAGTCGCTTCCTTTTCCCTCCTGCTAAAACTTGCTTCTCAGTCCCTCACTCTTGCTCACTCAGTCACTGTCCTGGCTCTCCTGCTTTCATATTTTAAACACACATTTTATCAGCGTGAGCGGCGGGACACCGTGACTCTTTGCACCACAGGAATGAATTCTTGTCATGAGAGTGAAGCCTCAAACATCACTCTTTAAAAGTGTACTCTGTAAAAGCAGTTGTTGTTTGGGGGATGGTTTGTGGCCAGGAGTTTAAAAATTTCCCCCAGAAACGACATTCCAGAAACAATGAAAACCACCCCAGAGTTGGGCAGTGTTACCTTTATTTAACTGCAAGTACTCACAGTTCTGCAACTGTGAATGTTCCCTTTTTCTGGGTGTAAAATGTCTGGGTCCATGGAAAAGTTAGTCCTGGGCTGCGTCGGGACAGGATGTTTGTTGTTAGAAGCAGCATCTTTCCTGCCGGTGGGCCGGTTGCATAACTGGCAGTTCCCAACACTGCTCGTGCTGTAGTCTGTATAAAACAGTTACCAAATTAGAAAAAATAACCCTTATGAAATATGCTGTGTGCTGAATCACATCTAGATATTAGCTGAGTGAGTAAAAGTACACTTCCTAAGAAGTCAGGCTCTTAGGGGCACCTGGGTGGCTCAGTCCGTTGAGCGTCCAACTTCGGCTCAGGTCATGATCTGGCAGCTCGTGAGTTCAAGCCCCACGTCGGGCTCTGTGCTGACAGCTCGGAGCCTGGAGCCTGCTTCGGATTCTGTGCCTCCCTCTCTCTCTGTCCCTCTCCTACTTGTGCTCTGTCCCTCTCTCCTTCACAAATAAACATTAAAAAAAAATTTTTTTAAAGGGAAGTCAAACTCTTAGCACAAGTGAGAAAATGATCGTCAACATCATGAACTAAAAACTCCGTGCCTGGTGCCCTGACAGCTGATTGGGTGCAGCTGCCCGTAGGGTTGCACTTGGCCCACCTACGTGTCAGATACACTAAGCCCGAGGTCAGCTTAGAAACCAACAACACGACGTCTGTTTGGAGGCACTTGCTGACCAGCATTTAAATTTGAAGAACAGAAACCCGTCATTCAGAGCTCCTCATAGGTCAGACTGGAAGACACCGTGTTTCTTGACGTGGGGAGTGTCCAGCGTGTCCTGGCCCTTGTTCACGAAACCTCTTTGGAGGACCTCCGGGTGCCTGTGAGCGGTGTGGATGGGAGTGAAGAAAGAGCAGAGAAATCCCCAGCTCTGGAGGTTGGCAACCAGAGGAGGAGGAAGACGTGTGCCAGTGCGGACGGCGACACGGTCACCGCCCGGGATGCGCGCGGTGCGCTGTGAAGGAAAGCTCAGAAAGCCGGGGGCCGGCATGACAAGCGGGCCTCAGACCCCCGGGGCAGCGGACGTAGAGGGCCCGGGTCAGCGACACGACAGCTGAGAGCCGACGTGGGAGCCGGGAACCCCTTTGGCCACACCCGTGCTTTCTGTCTGCCCGCCCTTTCCTGCCGGAGGTCACGCTGGCCCGGTTGACGGTTGTCACCAAGCACCATCTCCCGTGGAGTAAACCCGCGGGCCGGGGCACCCACCCGGGTGTGGTCCCAGGGTGGCGGCCAACGAGTCGGGTCGGAAGGGAGAGGTAAGATAGCCCGTGTGCATTTCGCCCCACGCGCGGCCACGCTGCCTCTGGCTCCCCGCGCGGGAATTCGTTTGCCGACGGAAACACCCCTGCGGGCCGCCGACGTCCACGTGAGCCCACTCGGCTGCGATGGCAGCACCACCCAAGGGGCTTGTGCTGTGTTCTGAGGAAACGGGGTTCGGGGCTCACTGTCCCCCCGCTCTCGATTTATTTTTTATTTTCTCGAACCTGTTTCCACCAAGCTGCTAACGAACAGGTGTATTCCAGGCGGCGTCTGCAGGCGTCGCTTGAGGGGAGCGAGCAACTTGCGCGTGTCTGTGTCCCGCGCTGGGACTCCGAAAGCTCACGTCGTCGGCGTGGTGCGTGGGTCACCCCAGCCTCTGCCGCCAGAACCCCCGTTTGTCAGCCGGCGTCTGTGAGACGTTTGAGAGTCCTCTTCACACCCTCTCAAAGATTGCACGTTGAAAGCGGACGTTTCTCTGCGCTGAAAACGAGGCCGCGTTGTTGCATCATCCGAGGACGAATTCGGACCTACACGAGAGAGACAAACATGCGACGCTGAAGTTTGGCTCTTTACAGCCAAACCTGTTCTCCCCGCCTCCTGTGTGGCCTCCTCTGTCTTCTGCCACCTCTCCCTTGGTGTTGAATCCGGATTTCTTTAAAGTAGGCGTCAGTACTTCGCCAGAAGCCCTCCGGCCACAAGACGACCATCAATGAAATGGCAATGGAATCCCTAGATTCGCCACGTTTCTTTCTTGCCTTCGCTCTCCTGAGGCCTGTCCTCGGTGAGAGGCGTTTGGAATTCAGTTCATCTCTTTCGTCGAAAACACAGAGCGTTCGCTTCCTCCGCCAGGCCTTTGTGAAAGCTGTGAGCGGAAACGCGGGTCACGTACCGCTGAGCAGCTTCCAGAAGAACCAGCGCCCGCGTGGGAGCGGGAGGACCCCCTTTGCAGGGAGGGCCGGAGGGCGGGGCTTCCTGAGGAGGGCGGGGCTTCCGGCGGGGGGGGGCGGGGGGCGGGGGGCGGGAAGGGTAGGCCTCTTCTCACCAGTCCCAGTCCCGTGGTGGGACTTCGGGGAGAGACGAGAGAGACGTGGCGCGCGGCTGGCGCCGAGGAGCCGAGAGGCGAGTGTTAGGCGTGCGTGTGCAGACGGACACACGCACCCGGGGCAGGGAGAGCGAGGTGCCGTCCCGGGGGGGCGTCGGCGCCACGGAGGATTCACCGGCCTCTGCTCACGCCCCCCCCCCCCCCGCCCCGCCCCGAGCTGGAGCGGGAGGAGGGAAGCGGGCAGAGACGGGACCCCAGGGCCAGACGGAAGCTCCCGAGGCACTGCCTGTTCTCCGCAGACTGCCGCCTCCCTCCTCCGCTGCCGTCCAAGCCCCCCCCCCCCCCGGCCACGTGGCTCCTCCAGACCCCGACCGTGACACCGTCCCGCCCGCCTCTCCCTGCACGCGACCTCCCGTGGGTGCCGGCAGAAAAGGCCGGCTCTGAGATTTCCGTTCTCCCGGACGTCCGGCCTGCTGCTCGGCG